ACGAGCTAAGAAAATGTTTATATCTCTGAGCCTGGCCTTCATAATTCCATTCCATCACACAGACTCACTCCATCCCAGAATATATCAAGCCTATATCTGACCTGCCTGTTTTTGGGATGGAATGCACAGACATTAGTTTTTGATGGATTAGGTTTTAGTCTATTCTCGTTGTAGTATTCTGACATATTCTTAAGAGCCAGAGTAAGCCTAACTTCCACTTTCTCGAAGTTAGTTCCCCGAGCAGTAAGTGCCAAATCAGCAGCATAGATGAAAGACAATGTATCAGGACCAACAGGCTGATCATAGGTATATATATTAAATAACAGGGGGGCAAGAACACTCCCCTGTGGAAGGCCATGTCGCTGGGCTCTCCACCAGCTTTTTTTTCCCTGGAAGTTGATGAAAAATCGTCGATTTTCAAGTATTGCCTCAATACATCTAGTCAGAGCAAGATCATGTGTGATATTATATAATTTCAAGAGAAGCTTCCTGTGCTTAACTCTGTCATAGGCCGCAGATAAATCTACGAAAACCGCTCCCATAATTAGACCTAATTGAAAGCCATCCTCTATATGCTGAATGAGTTTAAGTATGTGGCCTATGCGGGACTTCCCTGGCCGGAAACCAGCTTGTTGGGGAATAAGAGTTGGTTCAATAACAGGAAACATTCTATTTAATAGAACTCTCTCATAAAGTTTAAAAGGATGGCAAAGGAGGGAAATTGGGCAAAAATTCTTTGGGTCATTTGGTTCTTTTTCGGGTTTCAAAAGTGCAATAACCCGGGCTTTCCTTCAAATCTTCGGAATACAATTTGAGGCCATGCAATGCATTGAAAAGTGATAACAACCATTGCTTGGCAAAATCTCCAAAATTTTTTATTTGTTCAACACAAATATCATCCAGTCCTGTGGCTTTACCATTCTTCATATCATGAATGGCTGTTTCCAGTTCTTCTCCATCAAAGGGTGAGGTCAGGACACTGGCCTCCCCTTTCGTTGCCCTTGGGAGACTGCATTTCCTAAGTCTCTCCTTAACCCTGCCGTTCAGCAACAGCTGATGAGCTATTTGATTTGCCGTTACGTTCTTATATTGGCACGGGTTGGTTGGATCATTATTCAGACGTTTTAAAAGTTTCCAACTCTTCTGGCTGTTCTTTGTCAAATCAATTGATTCCAGGGTGGCCTTCCATTTCTCCTTCCGGGATTCTGCAAGGAGTGACATTACATCATCACCAGTTTCAATCGTTTCTTCGGAGCATGGGTTTTCTTCAAACATTCTGACATAGTTATTAAGATGAGGCATAATGTCTGGAGAGAGCCCTGGTACAAAGTGAGTTCGGCACCCTCTTGGAATAGATTTTCTGGGTGCACAACTTACAGCTTTGACGAAAAGGTTGTAATTTTCTGGCATTAGTTTAATAGTTAGCAATTCAGAATCAAGTACATCAGAAAAGTCCCTCCAGTTCGCTTCTTTAAAATTAAAGCAATGTCAAAACGGCACATTTCTTTGCCTAATAACAGAATGTACCTCGCATGTTAATGGTCTGTGCTGCAAGTGGGGGATTGGGTCCCAAACCGTCTTGATACAATGATTGCCGAGATTATTACTCACAAAAATCAAGTCAGGGTTATATACTCTTCTCCACCTACCACTATTAAAGGAGGCTGGAAGTTTGGCATCGTGGATTAAAGTAAAGGCATTAGTCTCTGACCACAATTCCACCTCTTCCCCATCTCTATTCATTTTGCCATATCCCCAATTAATACCGTGACTATTAAAATCACCAAGAATAAAATTAATCCTTTGTGAGCAGAAATTCCCAGGTTCAATAAAACTAAATGGTAAACTCGGGGGCTTATACAGCAAAGTAACCACACAATTATTTAATTCAACTGACAGTATTTCAATGTTATTTTCTTCTGTAGGAGCCGTTGAAGATATTATCAAATCAGGACAGACAAAAATAGCACTGCCATACTGTTCACTTGGTCTCTCAATAGCAAGTTTCATTCCTACTATATGGGGATGCCGTTGATAAATTCCTTGATAAGTTTCTTGCATACAGAGTACATCACACTTACTGGTCTCGCAGAAATTCCTTAATCAAACTTCCTTGTCTGCTGATATGCCTTCAATATTCATGGTGGCCATTATTAAAATTGGCCTTGTCAGGCCTAGCCCAAGGAACTCCAAGAGACAATGCAAATTCAGCTCAGCTTTGTTTATT